GAGTGGATTGTACTGCATGCATTTGTTGAGGGAGTTTCTCTATTTTTTGGTTCAATGCTTCAATCTGTTGGGTTATAAGTTTATTCTGGGTCAAGAGAGCATCTGAGGTGCTAAGTTCAAGTACTCCTTTTTTCTGAACTAGATGTCTATCATGTTGGGCATGTTGGTCTGTAGAGGCTAGTGCATCAATAATTCTTGTGGCAGGTTCGATGTCTACATCCAGCATGGATCCTCCTGCTGCAGCATCTAATAACATCTTTGTATCAGGTCGCAGGCCAATATAGAAAATATTCAACTGAGCAATGTCTTCAAATCCATGATTTGGGCATCTTCTCAACAGTGATTTAAATTTCTTCCATGCTTCACAAAAAGGTGCATCTGCTCCTTGTCTAAAATAGAGATGTCAGATTTTTCCTTGATGTAGTGGGATGGTGGAAAAAATTTGTTCAGGAACTTCTCTTCTACATTACCCCAGTTAGTCAAACTCTGATTAGGATATGCTTTCAGCCACTCCTTTGCTCTGCTAGCCAATGAAAAAGGAAATAATCTCAAGTATACATATTCAATATTTGCTTCTCTAAATCCCATGATATCAATCAACTCATAAAAAGTAGACAAGTGAATGTAGGGATCTTCGTGATCCATTCCAGTGAATTGATGAGAACTAATCAAACTTAAGAAAGCTGGTTTCATCTCCAATGTTTGGTTGGCTGGTATTGCAATGCTGGAGAAATGTCTCGAACCTTGCTGCATAACATAGTCTCTGAGTGTTCTTCTAGGTGGATTTGGATTTGGATTTGTTCCTTCCTCCGCCATGTCTTCTATGATTGGATCTAATAAGTTGAGTGTCGGAAAAGGGTTAACAGATTCTCCTATTGCTTGTTCTTGAGTTTCTCTTCTTCTACCCCGGTTTCTACGAGCAGCCTTTTCAATCTCAAGATCAAATTCTAACTTATTTGTAGATATTTGTCCTCTTAAAACCATAAATCAAAGAGAAACTTAAACAAGAATTAACACAGGATAACAATAAAAATAATAAAATAAAATAAAAACAAATAATAAGCTAGACAAAGACTTTCCTAAGAACACTTTTCCCCGACAGTGACACTAGAAATACTTGTTGAATTATTGGCAAACGTACCAAAATTATCAATCGCAGTATAATATTTCGATTAAATAAAAGTCGATCCCACGAGGAACAGTTTCAATGAAAATTCCCAATTATATGCTTACTAAGTGGATTAAAACAAAATGATTTTTTCATAAAGAGTTGAATTGAAATTAAATGACAAAGAACTGTAAATTTCTTAGAAAAGATCAATTAAATGCACTTAGGATTGACTTCCTTCCTTTTCCCTCTTTTGCAATGGCTATATCCAATTAAGATCATCAATTAACCTAATAATGTTGATGTCACCTACTCAAATCATCTATGTTGATTCCTCACACATGAAATTCATAAGAAAACCTAATAAATGTTGATTTCGCACACAATTAAGAGATTTTCCAGCATTAGGTTTAGGGTGTTAAGCAATTGATACATTCATTCCATTCTTAGCAATTAACGTAACAAATATTCTTACTATGATCTAGGGTTCAAGATATATATTTTCAATCATATCCCAAACATTAAGAATAAATCATTCCAAGGCACAAAATATAAGAATAACAGTATCAAAACATAGATTAATATCTCAAAATATCACCATGACACAAAAGAGTTCAAAGGAAGTGCACCAAATCCCAAGAAAACTAGCAGTAGTCACGCCTCTTTTCCCAAAACTTGCCAATTTTCTCAAAACACATCTTATCTTTTTATAAGAGAATTTGGGTCTCGTGTCTTTCGTTCAAGCGAAAAAGTTCGCTCAAGCGAAAGTTCAGTATTTTTGCTCAAGCAAAAAAGTGCTCACTTGAGCGAGTGAGTTCCAGAGAAGTTTAACTAATTTTCGCTCAAGCGAGAGTCTATCTCGCTCGAGCAACTTCCATGTTGAAAATCTTCTTCCTCCTTTCAGTTTTTTCTTCAATTATGCTCCTTGATCTTGTATCAAGGTATTCTCGAATTCATCCTACATTGGGAGAAAAATATATTATAATTGACATAAGTTAAAAGATTTCATAACAATTAAAAACATAATTATATCAACTTTTATCACTTAACAACTTGAAAATGTTATACCTCACAATTTTCAAGTTACACTGATGTAGTTAGCCTCACATATATCAAAACTTAAAAACAAGATACAAAAGAAAGATATGAAACGAATTCACCTTGAATTTATAGAATTATGCACCCTATAACCAAATAACCTTTCTTTGAAATTGATCTTCAAAGTCCAAAATTACGCTCTTTCCTTGATGCCTAAAACGTTCTTTTTAATTGTTTTAATTTGTATTTGAAAGTTGATATTGATAGAAGAAACTTTGCATCCTTTTATAGAAATAAAATTGTTGTAACTGCCACAAATAATCGATTAGCAGATTTATCTAATCGATTATTTGTGTGCAGTGATAGTTTGAAAATAGTCAAATAATCGATTAGGTGTTTACAAAATCGATTATTAGCGCGTTATGTTAAAATAAATTTTTTGGTAAATAATCGATTAAGAACCACGTAATCGATTATTAGTACGTCTTATGAAAACTTAATTTTAAGTCTTATAATCGATTAACTCTTTATCTAATCGACTATTAGCACATTGTGTTAAAAAACAATTTTAACAAATAATCGATTAAATGACCACATAATCGATTATTAATGTGTTTTATAAAAGCTTAATTTTAAGTTATATAATCAATTAATCATTTATCTAATCGTTTATTAGCGCTTAAGTTTTAATATAATTGATTATTTTTACTTTTAAAGTTTAGATTAGTTTAGTTTTATACAAATTAACTATACTAACTACCTATCTATCATTGGACATCATACAAAAAAAAAATTCAAATATCTTCCCTCCTGATCAAGAGGGGACCATGGCCATCGTAGGTTCCTTCCTCCCACCTCTCGTAACCCACACTTCTTTCATTACACACATTTCATTCCTGACATTCAAGGTATATTGTTTAAATATTCTTTAATCGTTTGAGTAATATACTTTTAGTAAATAAATTCTTTTGATTATATCTTTTTATTATTTTAACAATCTCACATTACTTAAACAATAATGTCACTTCATTTAAGTATTCTTATTCGTTTGAGCAAAATACCTTTAAAACAAATAATCTATTTTATTTATTTTTCACTTGATAACTACTTTGATAATTTGAACAATTAATAAACAAAACAAAATATTTTTTCTCTGTTAGTATTTCATTTGAACCAGAAGAATTTACTTGTTCTATAGTACCATTCAAAACAAAGAAGAATTTGCTTGTTCTAATACAATTCAAAACACAACATTCCCTGCACATGTTATAATCATGCATAATAAATTCAATATAACACCAAATAACCTTTTCTCAGTTACACTCAAATCATCAAATACACATACATTCATTCCAAGTATATTATTATTAAAATAATTAATTCCACTTATCTAAATATTCTTTTAACTTAATTTCTCAAGTACAATCTAAATTTAATTCCTCGACTTCAATATATACTTGACAATATTCCCACGTAATCAAAATAATGTAAATCACTAATTATTTTCTCTTTAACTTTTAAATACCCAAAATAAAGCTCTTAAAAATTTAGGAATAACTTACATATTTTTAATTTCTGATTACATGAATAAACATTAATTTCTTCTTGTCACTTCTAGACCTGATTAACAACTAACAACAACATCCTAAAACTAAATATTAAAAAAATAGAAAATTTAATGAAATATAAATTTCATATAAAAAAATTGTTTAACCCTTTATTATAAAATTTTCAACATCAACTAAGCATATTTTATTTTATAAAATGTTATAACGTCACTAATATATATCAACGATTGGAGTATTGATAAGTGGAAATAAAATGCAATATTTCCTTTATAAAATGAAAACTAATTTAGAATAATTATTTTTAAAATAATATAGAATGGAGAGTGTATTTAATAAAGTTTCGATAAGTAAATGTAAAAGCATTGATATTATATTTATTAAACATAATATATAATAAAAGCAAAAAATATGATTAAATATGTTCTATAAGTTTATTTATTGCATTTAAGGGTGTATTTTTTTTTCAAAAGGATTCCTTTAATTGACACACATATCTGATGTGTGCTGTCACTTTGAGTGTATTCTAAATCTTTTGTATTTGTGGGGGTGAAATTGTTCTACTAATCATAAATTGTTACTATTTTTTGTAACATTTTTTTATATTATTATGATGATGGACTAGAAATATGCATTGAATATTTGGTGTTATGATATAAAATATTGATAATTTAATTTATAATTAATTTTTATAAAAAAATTTGATAACTTTTAATCATGTACTTCATCTTAAAAGTAAACATTTTTTATATATAATAATATAATCATAAATTGTCTTAGCCAAATTGTTAATATTAAAAATAACTAATTACATTAAAAGCTGTATTTAATATAAATTTTACAATAATTAAAATTAAACTCATTTTTTTAATATTAAAATTAATGAAGTGGTGAAAAAGAATATTAAAATTTATGATACATGAATTCTTTTAATAAAAACAGCAAAGACAATGAATCTAAAACATTAAATATATTATGAAAGTTATAAATTTTTCAATTCATAACTACAATTCAATTTATATTTTTAAAGGTCTATTCAATAAATAATGACTTTTCATTGAAACTTTTTCACAAATTTTAATAAACAAATCACATGCAATTACTGCAACCATACTTTATATTCTGATTTAAGTCTCCACCAACCCCAAAGTCACTGCCAAATGGAAAAACATTGTAATATATATATATATATATATATATATATATATATATATATATATATATATATATATATATATATATATATATCATTACATTCTGTGATCATCTTGTGTTGGTGTTCTTGATCGATGGTGATGGTAATTCTGACAACCCTTTTGGTTATCTTTGTGAGTCTGGTATTGAAGGTAGGGTATGAGACGATTTCATGTTACTGGGTCACTCCAATGCGCATAAGGAAGATGATGGAGAAACAAGGTGTGCATGGTCCTAAACCTAGATTTCTTCTTGGCAACATCATGGACATGACTTCCCTTGTTTCAAGAGCAGTTTCTCAGGACATGGAAACCATCAGCCATGATATTGTTGGTCGTATTTTGCCCCATTTTGTTGCGTGGTCCAATCAATATGGTATGTTTCTCTTTCTGCGCTCTCTGTGTTTAGAATGCAGACTGTTTAGGTACGCATGCATGGAATTTTATAGTAGAAGGTATATGAAATTTCAAACATGAAAAAAAAAAGAAGAAATCGTCTCTATGTTTTTTTTTAATTTGTTTTTTATATTTTAAATTTATAAATTTATTTCTCAAACTTAAAAAATATGTGATTCTATTATTTTTTATACTTAAATTTAATAGTTAATAATAATAATTTTTTACAAGTTGATATAAATATTAAATGTAATTTTAGTTTGTTTATATTTAAATTTAATATTTAGTTAATAAAAAAAAAGACAAATTTATTTTATTTTTTAATTTTAAAGACTAGATAATTAATTTTTAAATATAAATATTGAAATTAAATTTGTTAAATACGCTGAAAATATATATTTAACCCTTTAAATATTACATTACATGTACTCACACTTAATGCATGCAATTTTATATTAAAATAAATTTTACATTTTAAATTATGAACATAATATTCATATATATTGAAAATAATAATTAATATTATAAAACTAACAATTTTTTTTAACTTTAAAATAAGAGCAATTACATCCGTACTAGTATTTTATTGAGATAAAAAAAAAAAAAAAACTTATTCCACCAAGATACCTTTATTTTTTTTTCCAATTCACCTTCCACCTTTCAATTTTTATATAAATAAAAGAATTTTAAATCTTTACTTTTTTTCAATTATTTGAATTTATATTTTTTAAATAAATACTTTTTTTCATTATGTGAAAAATAACAACTAATTATGATCAAAATTAAATAAAATTAATTACAGTGTGTTTTAAATCTAAATGAACGATCAAAATTTAAAAAGTTTCTTTATTTTGAAAAATCTAGGAATTTGGTACAATTAATTTTTTTCATTTAACGATTCCATGAGTTTGAGCATAGCTAGAGACATGGAGGGATGATGGAGAGAAGGTTTGCATGAGCCAAAACCTTCTTTTCTTATTGACAACATTATACACATGACCTCCTTGTTTTGAGAACATTTGTCTCAAGATATGAATTTTTTTTGTTTTTTATGCATTTTGAAGCTGTGGAAATAAATAAATATATATATATATATATATATATATATATATATATATATATGTGTGTGTAAATTTATGAGGTAATACTTATATGAATTATTTTTTATTAAATTTAAAAATTCAGCAGAAATTATATATATAATATGTATGTAAAGGAAATTTTAACGTGAGAACAAAAAAATCATCATCATTTATCATTCATATCTCAATGCTTATTAAGAGTGAGAGTAGAAAGATAAAAGGAAAATGAATTTCTCAGTATCAAAACCCTCTAAATTTTTCAAAATACTAAGAAAATTCTCCGAGATTAGTTATTCTTGTGTCTCATCTTATAAGTTATGTATAATTGTAGATGTATATTTATCTTCTCAATTTTATTTTATTTTTTCTATGTTTCGTGTCGATCACATTAATGAAATTTATAAGTAACATATTAAAAGATAAATGAAAACAAGTTTCACCATTCATGTATATTTTATCACGAAAAGATGATTAAATATGTTTGAAGTGTGTGTTAATGATAATTTTGTTATTGGCTTTGCCATGATGATGAAGGAAAGAGATTCATATATTGGAATGGAATAGAACCAAGGTTGTGTTTAACAGACACTGCATTGATTAAGGAATTTCTGTCAAAGTACAACTCCTTATCTGGAAAATCATGGCAACAACAGCAAGGCTCCAAACATTTCATTGGGAAAGGTTTGTTGATGGCAAATGGTGAACATTGGCACCACCAACGTCACATGGTTGCCCCTGCATTCATGGGAGAGAGACTTAAGGTATATGTTTGCTGTTTATGCTAATTAATCAAGTTTGTTCTAAGCTAAATGTATATAGATGTTACTCAAAGAATTGAGACATGAAATGTTAGATTTTACGAAGTTTTAATAGATGGAGACAAAGTAACTAATCTTACAAAAGATCACGAGACTACCAAAAGACAATATAATATATATGAGTGTCTCACACTTAATATTATTCAATTTTACTATTTTTATCTTATCTTCTCCAACTTACCCTCTAACACAGTTTAGACTCAATTAGCTATAAGTAAAGTTCCAACAGATTCATAAGCTTCACCTGGATAATTGAAACAGATGATGAAACTCTAAATGATGATTTCATAATCTTCTTAGTTTCTTGCAATAAGCATCTTCATAATCCAAGGCTAATGAAGAGAATGTCATTAACCTCAATTATCTGGATGCAGTTTATATATTGGTTCTTGATTGTGTTGTGTTTGTCAGTTCTATTATTTACTGTCATCTGGAATAGAAATGATTGGACTTAACATGATGATGGAGACTTAATGTGTAGGGCTATGCTGGGCACATGGTGGAGTGCACAAAGGATATGATTCAGTCACTGAAAAATGCATTAGAAGGTGGGGAAAGTGAGGTGGAGATTGGAGAGTACTTAACTGAACTCACAGCAGATATTATCTCAAGAACAGAGTTTGACACAAGCTACAAAAAGGGGAAGCAAATATTCCATCTCCTCACACAACTTCAGACTCGTTGTGCTCAAGCAACTCGCCATCTTTTCCTTCCTGGAAGCAGGTATGTGAATCTGGGAGAGTTCAGAATTTTGAACATGGTAGTAGAACAGAATCAGAACTGTTTGTTGCCACCTTTTTCAAATGTGAACCTACACCATTTATGTGTTGTAGGTTTTTCCCCAGCAAGTACAATAGAGAGATAAAGAGTATGAAGAGGGAGGTGGAGAGCCTCTTGATGGAGATCATAGAGGGGAGGAAAGACTGTGTGGAGATGGGGAGAAGCAATTCTTATGGGAATGATTTGTTGGGCATACTCTTGGATGAGATGAAGAAAGAGGGTGGAAGCTTGAATCTTCAACTGGTTATGGATGAATGCAAAACCTTTTTCTTTGCAGGACATGAAACCACTGCACTCTTACTCACTTGGACAGTGATGTTGCTAGCAAGCAATCCACATTGGCAAGACAAAGTCAGAGCTGAAGTCAAAGAGGTCTTCCAAGGGGAAACTCCATCTGTTCATCAACTCTCCAAGCTCACTCTGGTTAGTATTCAATTCTTATGTTTTTCTCCTCACACTAGTATTATGTCTTTGATTTTTTCTTTCAAATTTAACTTATACTTTATTTAATGAGTTATAGTTTTATCTAAAAGTATTTACATGTATTTTTTTAAATAATTATTATAATAATTAACATATTCCAATTATATATATATATATATATATATATATATATATATATATATATGATTACATAATAATTTTTTTAGATAATGAATCTATACTTAAGTAAAAAAATAAGATGTAACTAACATTTTCTAATAACTTGTATTTCTTTAGAAGTTGAATATAAGTAAAACAATTATGATGTATGGTAGACTCAAATATAAATAAATCTAACTATTTTAACTTTATTATTTAATGGTGTTATTTTTAAAACTTCTTTTTTAATGACTAATTTGTATTTATGATCTCAAGTTTCAATGAGGGATATTTTCTTCAAAAATTATTTTTAAAGTTATTGTTAATAAAATTAAATGATATTAGTTGTAAAATCATTTTTTTCTTATATTTAATCTATGCTGTGCTGTATCTTGCCCATGTTTGTTTTAATCTAGTTGTACTTTGGGCTTTGCCCCTTTACTTCGCCTAATCTTCATTGTCTAAAGCCCAATAAAAATTAGAGGTCTTGATTTTGAACATTTAGTTGTTGCCTCGAATTTTAGAAAAACATAAGTATAGAAATATTTTAGTTTTATTTATATTTTAGTGAAGAAATAATAAGCCAAATCCACAGATTAATAAATGAGCAAAAAAAATATATATATATATATATATATATATATATATATATATATATATTTTGAATGGTAAGATAACAAGTTATTTATATTATATACTGTCACCTATCTTTATAAATCCATTTAACTAATTCATTACAATTAAGGAAATGAGTTAAATTATTAAATTTGGTTTATATTTATATGTTTTTCCAAAATTATCTTGAACTTTATTTTGACATTTTTTTAAATATTTTTATTAATATAAATTTTTAATTATTCTTTTTAAAATTTTATATCAACTAGAGATACAATAATAATAATATAATTATAATATATAAAAGGATGGTAAAACGGGTTAATCCATCACGTTTTGGCTTATCACACCTCTAATCCGCCAAAAATGAAACGGGATAAACTGATATATCATAGTCAAGACAAATCTCGGTTCGTCTGCCAAAAGATAGACCAACGAGTTAACTCATCAATAATTTTTTTTATATATATTTTTTAAAATATATCTTTAATTATATGAATAACTTTTAAGTTCTTATTTATTAATTAATAATTTTATTAGTTAAATTGAAAAATGTTATATTTATGTATTAAAATAATTATTTATAATTAATAATTTAAATTTAATTGATTGATTTTTATAATATTATAATATATTTATATATTTTAATAATATAACATAAAAAAATATAATATTTTTAATTATAATCTGTTTTGGATCGTTCTGTTTTGTTTTTGGTTCATTTTGTTACGAGATGAGTATAATCTTTAACTTAATGAAACAATTTTGTAGAATTGAACGAGATATATAGTTCTTTATTTTTAAAATCATATAAGAGCCAAATTCTAATTATATTAAACTACTTGAATGTATGATAATAGGATCTAAAACCTTTTTAAACCGAGGAGATAAGCCGAAAAATCAGTCTGGAGGAGATTTATTAAAATCTTACCCTTACTTAAAAATATAAATATTATAATTTATAGATAAAAGTAATTCTTATCTTATTAAGTGAATTTTGACCTATGTTGTTATCTGATATTGCAGTTAAACATGGTGATTAAAGAGTCCATGAGGCTGTATCCTCCTGCAACAGTGCTTCCAAGAATGGTGTTCAAAGACATGGTGTTGGGAGACCTCCACATTCCCAAAGGCTTATCAATTTGGATTCCAGTGTTGGCCATTCACCACAGTGAAGAACTGTGGGGTGAAGATGCAAATGAGTTCAACCCTGAGAGGTTTGCCTCAAAATCATTCATGCCAGGTCGTTTCATACCCTTTGCTTCTGGTCCTAGAAACTGTGTTGGACAATCATTTGCCATGATGGAAGCCAAGATCATCCTGGCCATGTTCATCTCTCAGTTTAGCTTCACCATTTCTGAGACCTACAGGCATGCACCAGTGCTTGTCCTCACAATCAAACCCAAATATGGTCTTCAAGTTTGTTTAAAGCCTTTAAATCCATGAGACTTATATTTATGTTAGTTAATTCCTCCTTTGTTCTAGACTATTGATTTTTGTTTTTCAACTTTTTACATTGTGAAGGAGTTCAATACAAGTACTAGGATATGCATGCATGAACATTAGAAATCTATTGAAAACAGAAGGATTTTGATTAAATTATGCGTAAATCCCCTTCAAAGTGAGGATATGATCTCACTTTATAAATCCATTTTATAGAATTAAATTCTTTTTACTAGTTTAGAGTAAATAACACAGTAAATAAAAGTAATGATTTTTTAATAAAATAATTAATTGATTGATGTTATAAATGTTTTACGTTATGAATATATTTTAATTAAATTCTTTATTTTTATTACAGTTAATAACTTATTGATAGAATATATTTTAATTAAAATATTTATTCTTTATTGTTTATAAATATATTAATAGTCTTTATAATTCGGGATAATTTTGTTTTTTCAGATTTTTAAATTAAAAAAAATTACGTAATTTCTGAAAACCTATTTTTTATATATTATCACTTCCATCAACTCGTTACATCTAGAAATTAAAAATGTTTTTTTCTAAATTTTTAAGAACTAATTATTTTATTTTAAAAAATAGAAAAATACAAGTTAAGCGAACCATTATTAAAACCTTGAAATTTAGAAGTTACTTTATATTTATTAATACGTTTATTTAAAAAACAAGTTATGTATCTATCCCATCCCTAAATTTTTTATATTTATTATATAATAAAAATATTCTTTATTATATCAACAGGATAATAATACATATTTAATTTATTTTATTATTCAGTTATAATAAACTTTAATTATATATTTTACTATTTAAAATACCATCGTAAAAGAATAAAAGTGTACAAATAAGATAATTTTATTATTTATAAATCATCAAAAGAGATTTATTTTTATTATTATTATTCTCAATTTTTTATTAAAAATCTTTTCGTAGGTGGACCTCCTTCTTTTTTTTCTTTTTTTTTCAACCTTCAACATCCAATAAATTCCAAAATAACAATTATCCAAACCATCTAAATTTATTTATTATTGTAATTTTTTTTAACAACAATTTATATCTCATTGAACAAATATATTTCTCCCTTCAAATCAAAAGTATAACAATAGAATTACACTCTTATTTGGACAAATATATTTTACTTTTCAAATGTTAAGAAAGAAAGAAAACAACAAAACTAGATTGGTGTTAAACACATTCTCCATAGACTAATTTCACTTTCCAATACAAAAAATATAAATAAAATAAAGGCAATAATAATATCATATTAAGCATTTTAATATTAAGAAAAAAATTATAATTTAAAAAATATACTTTTAACAATAACCTTTTTGTCATTAAAAGTCGATCACTCTTACAAAAATTATTATCTTTTTTTTTTATTGTCATATATTCTTTTACTATAATCATAATTATCGTTATTCTAAATATCAGTACTATACTAAAATAATTTTAATATAAAAAAAAAATTAAAACCAAAAATTTGAAAGAAAAAAAAATTGTAGTTTTAAAAATCCCTTAATTTTAAATCCGTAAAAGTATAAGGTAAAAATAGAATTATATTGATGTTAGTTAAACGAAAACGCAAAATAAACACAAACTCGACATTAATCAATTATAATTAAAAAATCCCAAAAAGTTAAAGTAATAATAAAATTAAATTCACATTACTTTCAATGTAACAGTAATATAAACACACTTCAAAAGTTCTGTGTCTCCCAAGAGTAATAAATTTTAAAATTTCACTTAGTTAAATTTAAGTTAAAGTGACCTAAAAATTTATGACTAATTTATTTTATAAAATAACAGTTTTTAATATATATATGAAATTTACCAAACAATATTATTCTATTAAAATAGTAAAAACATATGGTTATCCTCGTTTTTCTTACATAATTAACACAAAATTTACTTATATATTTGAAAAACAAAACAGTTATCGAAACGTATGAATTACCACCTTGTTATTTTTACATGATGATAACAAAGGTAACAATTAAAAAACTATACTTTAGAAAAAGTGATACATAATAGCATAAGCATATATTTAAGGAAAAAGCAAAGAAAAGAAACTTGCCTCTATTTATGATGATATTAACCATGTTTGTACAACACCTCATGAACAAAGATTAAACCAAAAAAGAAAAAGAAAACAATGACTATAGAGCTTCTAAACTTCTCGTCTCAGCTACAAGTTTCTAGAGAAAAAAGTTGCTCTTTTTTTCTTTTTTATCAGAAAACCATTATTCAAGCAGAGGACTCAAGCCCTAACTCCATCTTCCAAGACTCTTTCTCAATGGAGTCATCGTTACTTTTAAACTCGATCTTTCTCTTCTTCATGGGAACCATGTGATGACCACGTGAAACCGGTTCGAACCCAAGGCTCAATTCCAAACCAAGATCATTGCTACTTTCATCGACTCGATCACTATCCATCGACACCACACTTTCACTCTCTTTGCTCTCTCCTTCCACGATGGCCGCGGCTTCCGACAGGTGGCTCAGTCCCGACTCGTGACTCGTAGTCTGGTTTGTGTCCGGGTCGACCGGAACCAATCCGGTTCCCTTGGAGGCCTTCGGTTTGATAGGTAGGTCGCCGCCGGTTCGCTTAACCCGGACTCGGGTTTTGGTTTTTGGAGTCTCGATCGCCTTGTCTTTTGACACGTGGCGAATGTCGTAGGCCTTGAGAGGTGGGGCCCGCGCATTAGCCGCCGCTTCCGATGTGATTGGCGTCACCGGCTCGCCTTTCAAAACGGCTTCCACGGCGGTTTGACAAAGCTGCCAGTTTCCCGACCATAACAAGCCCACCGACCCGTAAATTGGGTTCACAATTCGACCACATGCCTCGTACAACAACGAACGAAAAATCGCTGCAAAAAAAGAAAAAAGAAAAAAAAAAATCAATTAAATGTTTCTAAATAACTGCATGCAAGATCATTTGTGGGTAGAAATATTATTATTTAGTACTAAAAAAAATTATTTTAATTTCAGTTTCTTTTAACTTAAAAACTCACTTTAACCCGTTGAATAACTGTTGCTAAACATAATTAATGTCATACGACAGATTGATCGATCTGATATCATCAGACAGATCAAATAAGCATTAATCGTGTTGCGTGTGTCAAAATTAACACTGTCAAGAAAAAAATGGAAAATCAAATGAAAATAGAAAATAATTTAAAAACGAAGCGAAAAATTAGCTTCTGCTTACAAAATTCCTTTTAAAAAAAAAAAGAATAATTTTTAAGAGACAGCTCTATAGGTTAGCACAACTGCATGTAAGGTTTTTGTTGAACTTCTTCAATAAACTGTGTCAAAACTTCTAGAATCAGAATCTGTGAAGAAAAACTCCGATTCACATGAAGACACACCACAAAAAATTGAAACAAAATTGGATTTAGGCTTTGCTCCAAAGAACATAAACATGCAACAGAGAAAATGAAAAAGAAAAATTGAATTCCAATTCTAACCTGGTCGAAGGTGTTGAGGGCCAGCGTTGATGAGGTTCATGAGACCAGCACGACCATAGAACTTAGCAAGAAAAACAGTGGCATTACCCTGCGCTTCTGGGTTCTTGATCCATTCCAAACACGGTCTTATGCTACAATCTTCACTACACCCTTTTCGCAACACACGACACCCATTGCAACTCATTCGCATTTTCTCACAACCGTAGTTTTTTTTTTCTTTTTTTTTTTTCTATTCCCTTCAGACCCCAATTGAAGCTTCCAAGAGAAAATAAGAAGAAAAAGTGAGAGAGAAAATTGGAGATTTTTGTGATTGGAATTGGGATTGTGAGAGAAAGAGGGAACTTTATAGTGTTGGGGTTCCGGCGCTGCTGGGTTTCTCACATGTTGTGGGTTTCTTAAGAATTGTTTTTTATTTTGTTTTATTATTATTTATTATTTTCTTAACATGACAATTGTTTTGAGGTTTTTTTTTTTTCCACATTTAAGGGGGCTGGAAATTGGAACCACTTTTCTAGTTTGAAGCGAAGAATAATGATTCCATTTTTTTCACTTGTGTAGGGCGATCAAACCCACCCTCACCTCACGCGCGTGTTTTCTACTTCCTGTCGACGTGGCTCACGTCACCTGTGGCGTGGAACATCACGCACATGCCACCCATGATCATGCATTACAGTTTTTTTTTTTTTAAAGTAAAAAAATGTTTGAGGTTGAAAATTTAAATAAATATTATATATATATCTTATTTTTTTCATATGTTTGTTGTATTATTAGTAATAATGGATAATGAGAGGAAAGATAATATAATTATAGAGGTAGAAGAACAAAAAAGATGTGAGAAAAAAATATATAAAAATAAACAAACAAATATGTGATATATATTTTTAAAAATAAAAATAATAATTGTTTTAAAATTAATAATTTAAAAATATGTACATATAAATGTTTTAAAACCAATATTTTACTAGTTTTATATAAATGAAACATAATATTTTAACAAAATAAACAAGATAAATGTATTTAATTATATAAAAATAATAAAATGCTTATTATTATTATTATTATTATTATTAACCTCAGTAATATTTAGATCAATAAAACGATCAACAAAATGATTAATATATCTATGAAAAAATAATTATAATCTATTAATAGGAATAAATCTTTGAAAAAAAAGTTATAAATAAATGTAACAACAGAAATCTGATTGTATTGGATATTTCTTTACAATAAATAAAGTCATGTTATCATAATACTTATTGATAAAAACATTTTTTCTTGAAAGATATAATTTGTTTTTCTTTTATGAATGATTAAATATGAATAAGTTTTTTTATTAAAAACTTAAAATAAGTGTTTTTTTTAACAAAAACTTAAAACAATATTTTAATCCATAAAAAATTAATGAATTTTATTTTCTTTCAATGTAAGAAAATTGTTTTTTATTTTTCTAAAAATTTAGAAATATTTTTTTAAGATGTGTAATCTACAATTTTTTGCGAAATTAGCAATTTTTTTCTTATCTTCAAATCAATATAAGAAAAAAAATATTTTTTTAAATGGTAATTAAGAATGATGTAATGAGAATAAAGTTCGAGCAAGGAATAAATTACTTCTCAATTCATAATTTAATCAGTAGATAATTTTTTAGACTTTTTTTTACTTCTTTTTTTTCTGGGGATAAATCTGCCTATATTTTATATAGAATTTACATATATAACATATATCATGGTAAGGATAGAAGATTCCAATTTGAAAAAAAAAAACAAAGATTGAGTTGTGTCATACATAGAAAATAGTATACGATAATGATGTATTTGACAAATTAAATATCATCGTTTAATTTAAAAATAACGAACCTTTGGTATTAATTGATAATATTAGTTGATTATTATAAAAGATTTCATTAACTCTTAATTCATGTTGAGTGAACAAATGAAAGACTATTAGAAAAAGTGTTTTATTGTAATCTTTTGAATAAAAACAAAATGTAGATTTCTAATCTTGTAAAAAAAAAAAACTTACGGTATAATAAAATTTTATTTATTTTTTAGGTTTTGTTTCTTTCACGTCAATTTGATGGTAAACTTGAATATGAGAAGATAGGGAAACAAATATTAATCATGAGAATAATATTTAACTATTTAAAAGTTATCTTAATATTTTTCCATCACTCATAATCAAATTAATTAAACTTTGTTGTGATGAATAAAACTTGATTTGGTTCATTAAGATGGAAGTGTATTGTTTATACTATTATTCTTATTAATGAGCAATTTAAAATCGATATGAAAATCCTTAACACAATAAGCGGAACTTTTTATAGAGTTTATGTTGAGATTGACTTGAATGTCATAGGGATTGGAAAGTTTTATTTGAATAAAAGATAGTACAAAGAGTACAAAAAATGACATGTTTTCTGTGCAAAATTGTGGTTAAAATGGGCATGTACTATAAAATGAATAGTTAAATATTATGGACAAAACAATAAATTAAGGAGATATCACCCATAACCTTGAAAAAGATGGAAATCAATCTAATTCATATTGGAGATAGTCAATACTATTAGGATGATAAAGACAAGTCAAATTCTAACCATACCATGACTGCTATTTTATATATTCATGATGGGAAAATAATTGATACTGCTAATGAATAGTTAAATACTATGGACAAAACGACAAACTAAGGAGAGATCACCCATAACCCTGAAAAAGATGTAAATCAATCTAATTCATATTGAAGATAGTCAATATCACTAGAATGATAAAGACAAGTCAAATTCTAACCATACCATGACTGTTATTTTATATACTCATAATGGGAAAATAATTGATACCGCTAACAATAAATATTGTTATGCATAACAATGCAAAGAAAATGAATAGTTAAATACTATGGACCAAAAAACTAAGGAGAAATCACCCATAAAGCTGAAAACGATGCAAATCAATCTAATTCATATTGAAGATAATCAATACCACTAGAATGATAAAGACAAGTCAAATCCTAACCATACCATGATTGCTTTTTTATATACTTATGTTGAGAAAATAATTGATACCGTTAATGAATAGTTAAATACTATGGACAAAATGACAAACTAAGGAGAGATCACCCATAATCCTAAAAATGATGCAAATCAATCTAATTCATATTAGAGATAGTCAATATCATTAGAACAATAAAGACAAGTCAAATTCTAACCATACCATGACTGTTATTTTATATACTCATGATGGAAAAATAATTGATATTGCTAACAAGAAAGATTGTTATGCACAACAATGCAAAGAAAATGAATAGTTAAATACTATGGACCAAACGAAAAACTAAGGAGAGATCACTCATAATCCTAAAAAAGATGCAAATCAATCTAATTCATCTTATAGGTAATCAATATCACTAGAATGATAAAGACAAGTCAAATTTTAATCATACCATGACTGCTTTTTTATATACTCATGATGGGAAAATAATTGATACCATTAACAAGAAATGATTTAACAAAAGATTGTTATCCACAAAAATGAAAAGAAAATGAATAGTTAAATACTATGAACAAAACAATAAACTAAGGAGAGATCACCCATAACCCTGAAAAAGATGGAAATCAATCTAATTCATATTGGAGATAGTCAATACCATTAGAACAATAAAGACAAGTCAATTTCTAACCATATCATGACTGTTATTTTATATACTCATGATGGGAAAATAATATATACCGCTAACAAGAAATGGTTTAACATAAGATTGTTATGCACAAAATGAAAAGAAATAGAATAGTTAAATACTATGGACAAAACAACAAACTCAGGAGAGATCACTCATAATCCTGAAAAAGATGGAAATCAATCTAATTCAAATTAGAGATAGTTAATACTATTAGAATAAGAAAGACAAGTCAAATTCTAACCATGTCATGACTGCTATTTTATATACTCATGATGGAAAAATAATTGATAACACTAGCAAAAAATGGTTTAACATAAGATTGTTATGCAAAAAAATGAAAAGAAAATGAGTAGTTAAATACTATAGACAAAATAGCAAACTAAGAAGAGATCACCTATATCATCAAAATGGTGAGGAAGAAGTAACAAAACTTAACTATGGGTTAGGTGTTAGAGATGTTTGAGTAGTGAACATATTTCTCATTAACAAACTCATATGGATCTCTTTTAGCATACAAAAAATCCACCAGTTGAAGTTCAAATGTAAAATATCTACTCAATGAGAATATTTCAAATAAAAAAGTGAAAGATGGTGATTTCTATGTTAGAAGAGCATTGTCAAGTTAATAGACAAACTCAAATATGGTTTCAAACCTAGTTTAGGTATGGGTCAATCTAGTTTTATATATATATATATATATATATATATATATATATATATATATATATATATATATATATATATATATATATATATATATATATAAATGACTCGGTAGATGTAAACTTTATTATTCCCATATGTGTATATTGTAGACTTTTAATTAACTATAAATGATATATCAAATAAAAATGTTGGAATCTTGGTAGACTTTACCCGTAACCATCAACGCACATCTTCGATACCATTCATGATATTAACATCCCTAAAACCCTTTAAAAATAATGTTGAGATTTGGAAAGGAAATTCAAAAGTATTTACACAAAATCTTAAACTTACAAATGTAATATCAATCACATTTATAATGCAAACCATGTTTAGATGAAGGTATATAAATTGATATCTTAATAAAAAAAATTATATTTTTATGTAGCAAATAATTTACTTAACATTATCATTAATAGTAATATGGTTTTTTTGTCATGTTAACATTATCATTAATAGTAATATGGTTTTCTGCAGGCATATACCTCAATCCTTGTGTACCATATGTTCTAGTCAAGTTGAGATCATTGTGTGTTTTGAGGGTTATCCAAATTCAAACAAATTATGGTTTCACTGAGATCCCTAACCAATGACATTTTTATCAATATGGATACTTACTTTTGGTTAATTAACATTTTATTTTATAAAAACCAATATTAGATATTAGCAATAGATTACTAGAATAATAACACAATCTTCTCACTCAATTACTAAAACATATCCTATATGTGAAATTGGATTTCACAAATCATGTCAAAATTTCATTGCTATTGCATGAACATCATCAAAAATTAAACTACATAGTATTTGAATCCCTTACGCTTCTCCTTATGTCAAATTGAATATTAATGAAGATATGAAACAATAAAAAATAGGCATAGTTATAAAAAAAACTACCAAAATGATTAGATCTTAGACTTTATATAATTTGTGGACGTGTTAGCATATTGCTCGTTAAGTTTAGAACCATGAGGATAGGTCTTTGGTCATTCTTAATTTTTAGCGTATTCATGTGAGATAATTTGTTCTAAAACTCACATTGATGTTTAGCATATTTGAGACAAATTACTTGACATGCATTCATAAGAAAATTATTTAGAATATTCATAATATAGGTGGTTTGGTAGTCCACTTTAAACTTGTTTTCAATTATACTGACATTATTGTTGATTGTTTTATTCAATCCATAGAAATTTTAAAAGTAATAGAGATTTTTTATTTTATGAATAAAGATTACTTGACAACCTAATTTTAATTATTTTTTTATTTTTGTTTGTAATCATTATTTTTATTTTTTATTATTTTTCTTATTATATTAACTAATGGAAACATATACACTAAAATGTCTACGTATTTATATTTTTTGTATCATTAATTTTTTTTAATTTTGCTTTATTTTTCTCATTTTTATATATATCTCATATTATTTGTTATATTATAAATGAAGACTCAAAACTCGATTGAAAAAAAGAATAATTTTATATATACTACAAATGTATTATTAACTAAGGTGACATTATATATATATATATATATATATATATATATATATATATATATATATATAAATATAAATTTCTACTGCTATATTTAATTTCTTTATTTATTATAGTTTACGCGTGTTTTGTTTTATCCTGTTATGCATGATATCTTTCCTGGACCTTTTTATTTTATTTGTCTGTGTTCGTAGACTTCAATTCAATTCAAAATTTATATATGGATTTGTCATGTGAAAAATACTAATACTTTTTAGTATATTTTTATTATTACTTAAATTTATTAGAAATAAAAAAAAATCTATATATATTAAACTAACTTTTGAATCATATAATTTTATATTTGCATAATATTGATTTCTATAAAATTAAAATTAGGTAATTTTAATCCAATTCTGATATAATATATATAAATAATATATTATTTTTTATCTGGAAACTGATCTGAACTTGAGAGAACTTTTGTAGACCGATTTTTTTTTTAAGAAAACTACTTTCAATCATTTAAAAATTATAAATTAAAAACTAATAAATCTTTTTAATCAACATCACCTCCAGTAATTTAATAAAAAATATAAATTATTCATTTGTATATACATATTCAATAATTAAATTTAATATATTATTCTAGTTAATATTTTAACTATGTATTTAAAAAAAACATAATTTGAAAATTTGATAAATTAAATATAAGTTTTGTAAGAAGGAATAAGAATGAATTGCAACAGGAGTACCGTGAGACATACGGATCTCTCCTGTGGATGCCAAAGCAGCGTTTGTTTGTGTCTGTGAGACGCGCAGTGACAGCCACACAGTCAGACAGGCACGTACATTAAGGAATCAGACTGACACAGAAAACGAAGAAATTGAAGGACAGAAGGGTAAATTCGGGTGGTGTCAGGTCATGCATGCAAAAGGGTACAAATTTTGAGGAGCGAAAAGGAGGCGCGTGGCAGCACGCGTGGAGAACCAGTGCGGTCGAATCGCCACATATTGGGGAGTAAAAGGGTCCACTCTGCACTGGTTTTTGAACGTTAGAAAATAAGCTCCTGGTTTTCGGGAGCCAAAACCGGTTTTTGATAAAACCGGAACCGGTTTCCGGGTTTGGCCTTGGGACTGTGGGCGCTGAGGAGAGAGCAATGCGATGAGCCAATGGTTTTGTTTTGGTCTAATAATCAAGTAGAAAGAAACGGTTTTATATAAATAAATATATATATATATATATATATATATATATATATATATATATATATATAAAATAATATTAAATAAGTGATTGGGATAAGTTTACGTTTTACTCTTGTGCTTTCATTTAATTTGGTAGTGGCAGGAGAATGGTAGATGAAGAAAAAGTAAATATTTTTGGTTAAAGAAATAAAAATAAATAATACATTTAAAAATAGGACATCTCCAAGAAGAAGTTATATGAGTTCAATCTTAACTTAGAAAAATTTTAAATATTGATCTATTATCTGACATAATATAATTTGTCATTAATTTTATTTTAACAAATATTTAAAGAAATTTTAGAAAATACATTTTTTTCTTTATTTTTTTTTAAGTTGATTGATTAAGCTAATTAACAAAAGTTTATCATTTTACATAGGATTAAAGTTATTGTATGTATATTAAAAAATAATAATAAACATATTATAAGATCAGTTTAATCTGATGATTTATTTTATATGCTTAAAATTGCAATTATCTTTCAATAGAAGAAATCATATATAATCAATTTTTACATATAGATAAACAAAAATGTTAATAATATAATAACAATAATATTAATTAATTAATAGAAGAGTTAAATATGTTCTAGTTTAGATATTTGGATAAATTTAATCTTAATTCTTACACATAAAAAATTATTAATTAGTCCTTAAACTTAATATAATTATATATATATATATATATATATATAATCAGTTCTTTTATCAACTTGAAATAAGTATTTTAATAAGACCGAGAACTAATTAATATGTTTTTAAATATAAAGACTAGAGTTTGACAAAACAAAAAATAAATACAAATGATAATGACTTTAATATTTTTTATTGTTTTTTTTATCACTTAATTATAAAACTTTGTTTATTTTTTTTAAAAGAACTTTGCTTAATTTTTGTTTAAATTTAACAAATAAAATAATATTATTGTCTCATGTTCTCTTTCTAGATCATACTTTTCTAGTTATAATCTCTAATATATTTAACCTGAAGTTTTTTTTTCACAAATAATTCTTATTTTCAACATTTTATTAACAATTTTTTAAGCTCATTTTAAGTATCATTGGGAATTTTTGAAGTTCCAACTAGGTTGAATCCTCTTAACATAATATTTGATATTTTTTTATTTCTATAAGAATATCATTAAGTATTTTTAAGATAATAATATTTATTATAGAGAAAAAAAATATTAATATTTCCTAAAATTAAAACTTAAATTAATAAAATTTATTTTAAATACTAGAATTAAAAAATGCAATGAAGAGAATATTTTGATACAAATTTTAGATATAGGTCTTTACATATTATTGACATTATTATAATAGTAGAAATAAACTGAGTTAAAATTGCTGGTAAATATTTATGTTTTACAATTTAAGAAACTAATTACTAACTTATTTCTTGTGATTGAAGCTTATAATGTGTGGAGTTTGGCTTCTGTATTATATTTATGATATTGAATTTTTATCATTAAATTCTAATAATTTAATCTTTTTTAATTACGAATTTTATAAATCAAATTGTGTTGACAACTATTAATCAAATTTTTAGGAATTCCAATTGCAATTTTTGAAAATATAAGAAATTTAAAATAAAGATAATTGTTATGTTCATAGAATTTCATAAGAAAAGAAATAACTTTAGTGTGAAATGAAAACATTTCTGCAAAACGAATAAAAAAAAATTATTGAAAAAGCAACATGCCCAAGTTGGAAGCGTTGAGTGGCTGATTAGAATTGAAATGCGTTAAAATGGCAAGTTCATGTTTTAAGACACGTGTTATCCGATTCATGCTATTTTGTCTGTTTCTTAATCCTAGTACATGTCGATAACAAATAGTGGTTTTGGTCGACACTCTTCACGTAACATAATTGTCTCTTTTAGTTGTTCGATTTTGCAGTTGTCTCCCAATTTTAATCATTTAATTCCCTGAATTCCATACTTTATTCTTCCTCGTCACAGTTTTGATTTGAAAATTATGTGGCATTGTGTTACTTTGTCGGTTTACGAACTGTAGCCTATGTATTCTGACAAACTAAGTATATTCAAATAAAACCCTAATTGATATGTATTTAATATACAACTTAAACTGAACTCTCATTTATTAAATAAAGTTTCAAATTTAACTTTTATGAATGGATCCGACAACTTAGAAAGAAGCTCCACGTTTCGAAAATTCGTAAGTTTGGCTCAATTTTACATATTTTAAAAATTTTCTATAGTCATAAAATATTTTAATTAATTTAAATATAAAAATAAAATTGAATATAGAATAAAAATCACTTAAATCAAAGAAAGATTACAAAACCATATTATGCATTAACAGTTAGAAAGTCCCAAGATTATAATGTAGTCAATTTCTTATTATTTAATTTTTTTTAAAGAAAAGACATTCTTAGATTTTTTTTAAGGTATCTTAAGTTAAATCTGTAAATAAATTATATGTTTGTTCAAATTCTTAAATAAATAACTCATTCAAAGGTTATTTATCCCCTCATTCCATTTCTTAGGTAGTTTATTAACTTATTAAAATCCTGAATAATTCCTCGTTCAAATTATATATCAAATCTTTCAATCATTCACAAAACTCTTACATTGATTTTACATTGTTCATATACAACTTTACACTACTGCTCTATGCACAAATTTGTATATATGTAATATGCAAATTTAATTAACTTTAAAATATATTTTTTTATCTTGTTATATATATAATTAATAAAAATAATTTATAATTATTTTTATTGTTTTAAATGCATATTATTTTTTAAAATAATAAGACTTCAAAATTAATTTTGATTAAAAATATGACATAGAATTGATGATATAATTTTTAAGCAGGTAATAATAATTATAAACATAGAATTTATAACCATAATATATATATATATATATATATATATATATATATATTGTATTAAAAAATATATATTAACAATATATCAAATTAAAAAAATTATAAAATATATTTGTATTTTAAAACAAATTTATATCATTTCAACACAATTAATTATTTAAAATTTCTTTTAAATAAATACACCATGTTTTTAATTTGAAATCTTTTAATATTATTTTTTAATATTTATTTTCTTATATTGAAGTTCAGTTCAACAATGTCCATTTTTTCCAACATTTGTTATTTAATCCTTTGGAAGTTGTAAAGCATCTTTGGAAACATTGAACATTTCCATTATTCTTGCATTAGAATAATGTTAACTAGTCTTCACTAGATTCTTAGGTTTATTCAACATGATGGGGTCCATATTTACAAATAGAAATTAAGGATACAAGATATAGTTAAGAGTAGTTGAACAAATATAATAATCAATTACATTAAAATATACACATGTTATGATAGAAAATGTGTTTCTTTTGTTTGTTTTAAACTTCTTTAATACATGAATAATGATTCACATTACATGTAATTGAAATTAAGGGTTAAAATTAATACTGTAATATATATATATATATATATATATATATATATATATATTGTTTTAATATAATATTTATTATGTAATTATAAAACAATTTCAATAAAAGATGTTTAATATATAGACTTAAAATTAAACTTTCTTTTTATGACTTCATTAAAGATAATTCTATTATTAAAAAAATTGTTGTTTGAAAGACAGATTTGTATAAATAAATTGTTTTATTTAAAGATAATTTTATTACTAAAAAAATATTATTTGAAATAGAGGTTGACATAAATACTTGTATACAATAATATTTTTATAATTTTTTCTTATTTATATAAGAAATTAAGATACTAAGATGATTAATTCAAAACTTTTATAAGAAATATTTAAATTTTCTAAAATATTAATAAATTGATGCAATAATTAAATTTTCTAAAATTCAAAATATTCATTACAATATTTTTATCTTAGTCATAATTTATAATTTTTATTTATTTAGCGTACAACAAAAAACATCATTATCTTATTTGGCGAAGAGAAGAGATTACTTGTCTATCCCATTTAAAGAAATAGTTTGAGTTACTCATACAGTTTTAAAAGAATATGTAAAAAAGAAACAGCTTGTCATACAACTACAAATATTGCCTTCACTCTTTCTTCCAAACTCATATATCATTAATCAATAATTAATTTATTTTTTATTTCTCCAAAATTATAATAATGTTATTTATGATTGATTTTTATATGATTTTAAATGAATGGTATGTATTGCGATATGCTTATTATATTTGAAATGATTGGATTGAGTGTGAGAATTTTGTTATTAGTAGAAATTATATATTGAAAAATAGAATGATTTAGTTTCATTTTTATAATTTGATTTGTAGTGAAAAGTTAAGAAACTGAACAAAATTGGTGTAAAACAAGTTGAAAATGAACTAAGAAATTTTTTGTACTCGGTTGAAATTGAATCAGAGTGTTTTAGACCAATTTGGAATTGATCTTAAAGTTTTGTATAATTTGTTTTTACATAATACTCGTTGGGTTTCCAAATATTTGTTGAACCAATTTCTTTTAATTGAAAATCTAAGAACTTTGTTTGTTGTTAGGTGATTAAAGAGTGAATGAGCGAAATTGATTCAAGTGAAAACTTGAATTATTTATTCATTAAACAACTTTAAAGTTAATTTGATGGGAGAGGACTTTCCTGGTTGAGAAAAGAGAGTGTTTTTATATTATGAACAACATGTTTTTCAATGGTTCTAAATACTATTTTTTTTAAATCTCACTAAATTGTTATAGATTATCAATTTATTTTATATATTTGAGTACTGCTATGATGATTTGAGAAATAATTTATTATGTGACACAAAACATAATAATTATCAAGGAGGTTATTTAGTGCTGAGACACAAGGAGGTTCTTGATACCTTTTCTTATAAGACAACTTAATTGGTAGATAGTGTCACTGGTAAAAATCTGAGTTCAAATTCAAGACATTTTTTCTAAAAGTGGTTAAATGTCTTTTAATTATGATATATGTAAATGGAGCCATGATGTAAGCTTTTGATGACATAGAAAGACACTTTATGTGAGGATATTAAAATTGAGATGGCATATTAAACAACCTAAGATAGAATACCTTATATATATATATATATATATATATATATATATATATATATATATATATATATATATATATATATAGATTATATAGATATTATTTGTAGATAAGAAGATTTCATATATTTTTATCAAGAAAATAGAAACACATCATAAAAAAATAGCTAAAAAACAATTTTAAATATTTTATTTATTATATTATTTTTAACTTTTTTTAGGTAACGTAAAAATATTTAAACTTAATAATATAATAAAAATTAGTTACTTGTATATATTGCATATCACTGTTTCATTTATAAGGAGAAAATAATATAAAAAACCTTTATATGATAATATATTATTAGATTATAATTTAGCTTATGTAATAATTAGTTTCGGTTATGTTGGATAGTCTAATTAACTTAAATTTTTATAAATATTGTATCTTTATCATATTTAATTGGTTATTATATAAACAAATTTATGTTGAATATATAGTTTTATTTTTTAGTGTCTCTTTTGGGATATTTGTTTTAGATTCTTTCCAGTGATATCAACGTTTCAAGATTTAAGAAGAAAAAGAAGAAAATGGTGGTGGCAGGAATTGAGTTGCATGACAACATGTCAATACTTATTAGCAAGAACTTGTTTGAATGAGTATAATAGTTAGTGTGTGAAGATGAATACCATTTGATATAAATCACAAGGGGTAATTTAGGATCTTTAAGGTTAGAACCTTGTAAGAAATTTATGAATTAGAAAGAAGGTGGAAGGAAAAAATCACTCTCTTTCCAAGGAAGACAACGTACAAAGGATGTGAAAGTCCTTTGATACAGCCAAATATTCTTGAATCACTCAAGAACTTAGGAGAATCACTCTCACTAAGATAAAAGAAATAAACTCTAATATTTCTAAAAATAAAACTCAACTTGTTATTTCTGATAAAAATGGTTCAACTTATAAAGAAGTTTTGCCATCAGAGTTGCAAATATTCATTAAAGGAAAATAAATGTTAATAATAATTTATTAACCTAGGAATTGAAAACTATTTAATGATTGATTGTAACTGAAATTGTGGCATCCAAAAGTCAATAAGCTATACACCCTTTTGGTCTTCCAAAGACTGATAACTAAATTTCCAATTGGGCCCTTATTACAACTTGCAATAAAACTAAACTAAAGCCCATTAATTGATTAATCCCAAACACAATTTGGTCAACCAACAATACTTGTTGAAGAACTTTCTTTGTTTTCCTTGCTCTAACCCTTATCATAGGTCATGTTCACGTCATTTTCTCCCTCTTGAAAAGGATTTGTCCTCAAATCGGATTCGTCATCTACATTAAAAAAAGATAAGTCTGATAAATTGAATGTAAAACTAACATTATACTCACTTTTTATGGCTAAATAGTTCTCCTTCATTTCAAGTGTTTCACTCTTCTTTTTTTCTCTCTTTTCTTGAAGAAATTTTTCTCTCATTCTCTTTTTATCCTCCTCTGCCATCAATTTGATGTTCAAACCTTAAAATCGGAGCTCTGAATACCAACTGATATGAATCACAAGGGGTAATTTAGGATCTTTAAGGTTAGAACCTTGTAAGAAATTTAGGAATTAGAAAGAAGGTGGAAGGAAAGAATCACTCTTTCCAAGGAAGGCAACACACAAAGGATGTGAAAGTCCTTTAATACAACCAATTATTCTTGAATCACTCAAGAACTTAGGAGAATCACTCTCATTAAGATAAAAGAGATAAACTCTAATATTT